CCTGTAATCCCACCACTTGGGAAGCTAAGGCAGGAGGATCATTGCAATTTCAAGACCAGCCTGGGCTACAAAATGAGCTGAAGGCCAGCCTGAACTGCATAGCAAGACCCTGTCTCAAAAAGACAAAAAAAAAAGAGAGAAAAGAAAAGCAAAGAAAGAAAAGCCAGAAATAAAATCTCTAGAAAATAATATCCATTTAGAACCAATTAATATCAGGGAAAGGAGTGGCACCAAAAATAGGAGAAACAGCCAGGTGTGGTGGCGCAGGCCTGTAATCCCAGCATCGGAGAGGCTGAAGCAGGAGGGTCATTGAGAGTTCAAGGCCAGCCTGGACAACAAAGTGAGGTCAAGGCCACCCTGAACTGCATAATGAGACCCTACCTGAAAAAGCCAAAAATTAAAAAATAAAACAAAGCAAAAGAATTCAGTATTTTGTGTATGTTTCAATTATTTATTCAGGAAATTGTCCAAACTAGAAGCCAGATATTACAGTGACGTTCTAAGTATTTTCTTGATTGCCAAGATCACTTGTTAGATACTTGTCCTCTCTCTCTTTCTCTTTTAATTAATTTTTTGTTTGTTTGTTTGTTTGTTTTTGGAAACAAGGTCTCACTGTATAGTTCAGTTTGTCCTTGAACTTACTGTGTAGCCCAGGCTCACCTCAATTTGCAGCAGTCCTCCTGCCTCAGCCTCCCAAGTGCTGGGATTATAGGTGTGAGCCACCAGCCTAGCTTGTCTTCTCTTAATTGTACATAATATAATTATACATTTTGAATTTACATGATTTTATAATTAGATTTGTAAATTTTAACAGATAGTTGCATGGAAAAATACTTTAAAGATTTAAATTAGAAGTGAGTGTGTAGCTCAGTGAGAGTACTTGCCTAGCATGCCCAAAGCATTGAGTTTGCCAGGTTTGGTGGAGCATGCCTGTAATCCGAGCACTTGGGAGGCCGAGGCAGGAGGATCATTTCGAGTTCGTGACCAGCCTTGGCCTCAAAGTGAGGTCATGGTCAGCCTGAATTGCATAGTGAGACCCTGTCTCAGAAAGACCAAAAAAAAAAAAAAAAAAAAAAAAAAAAAGCATTGAGTTCAATTTCCCACTACAAGGAGGAAAAAAGATTTAAACTAAAAACAAGAAAAGGGGGCCGGGTTTGTAGCTCAGCAGCGCAGCGCCTATCTGGCAAGTGCGAGGTCCTGAGTTCAATTCCTGGTACCAAAAAAAAGAAGAAAAATAAGATAAATGTGTAGGAGTCAGTATCAAGTTAAAGACATTAATTTATTTATTTACAATTACAGTCTAAGAAAATAATTTAAAAATTACATCAACTTAATATAACTACCTTGGTCTCTAAAGTGCTTTGTTTTGTAAGAATTGTTACCACTGGTTTTAATTTTAAAAACCTGAATGAATTAATTTCAGAATCTACTTTTCCTTTTATGTTATATGCAGCCTAAGTTTATATACAAAATATTTTAAACTAACATCTCTTTTCTCAACTCTTTAAACAGCCCAGCGGTCTGCTCAAGAACTTCCTCATATTGAGAAGTACAGTATCAGCAGCTGTCCTGTAAATGGAGGCCATGAAATGATTGTGACTGGGTCTAATTTTCTTCCAGAATCCAAAATCATTTTTCTTGAAAAAGGACAAGGTAAACAATATAAGTTGATTGACTTCAGTCTAAGGAGAAAAAGCGTGAACTAAATCATTTAGGTATTTTGGTAACATTAATCAAACATAGATTTCCAAATCTTCATTTATACCCTGGATTTTATTGTGAGCCAAACATTTATTAAATTTTCATGTAAATATCAAATTATCCAGCGGGGTGTGATGGGGCACACTTGTAATCCCATAATTCTGGAGGCTGAGACAGGAGAATCCCTGCATATATGAGGCCAGCATAAGTTCAAGGCCAGTTTAAACTACATAGAGAGATCTTGTTTTAAAGAAAAAAAATTCTCTTTAAGGATACCTTAAAAATAGAGGAGTTGGGCTGGGGATTTAGCTTAGTGGCACAGTGACTGCCTGGCAAGCACAAGGTCGTGAGTTCAATTACCGGTACTGAAAAAAAAAAAATAGAGGAATTAGCTGGGTGTGGTGGTTCATGCCTGTAATCCCAGCACTTGGGAGGCTGAGGCAGGAGGATTGTTGCGACTTTGAGGCCAGCCTGGGCTGCAAAGTGAGCTCAAGGGCAGCCTGAACTGCATAGCAAGACCCTGCCTCAAAAAGACAAAAAAAAAAAAAACCAAAAAAATAAAAATAGAGGAATTCTCGAGCATTTCTGTTCCTGTAGACACATACACATATACACACTTGCTCTGTCTCGCAAGAGAATTGAAAACATACCACACAAAAACTTAAATATGCACCTGTAATCCCAGCACTCAGGAGGCTGAGGCAAGCAGATTGTTGTGAGTTCGAGGCCAGCCTTGGCTACAAAGTGAGCTCAACCAGCTTGAACTGCATAGTGAGACCCTGTCTCAAAAAGACAAAAAAAAAAAGACATAAAAAATCACATATAAGCCAGGAGTGGTAGCACATACCTATAATCTCAGCATTTAGGGAGGCTGAGGCACAAGGTTCATAAGTTTGAGTCCTACCTGCACAAATTGGTGAACCCCTATCTCAAAAAATAAATAAGGGCCAAGTGTGGTAGTACATGCCTGTTACCCCAGTGCTTGGGAGGCTGAGGCAGGAGGATTACCTCGAGTTCAAGGCCAGCCTGTGCTACATGGTGAATTCAAGGCCAATCTGAACTACATAGTAAAACCTTGTCTCAAAAAATAAATAAATAAATAAAAATAAAATTTAAAAAATGAAGACTAAGGATGTAGCTCAGTGCTTCATTCCCCAGTAAAATATGCATACACTCTAAAAGGCCATACGTTATATGGTTCCATTTATATAAAATGCCCATAATAAGCAATCTACAGAGATAGAAAGTAAGTAGACCATGGTTGCCAGGGGTTGGAGGGAGGTACTAACTGGAGTAACTGCTGATACATATAGTGTTTCTTTTGAGGTTAGTAAGGATTACCTGCAATTAGTAATGATTATTGTATTACTTTGTGAATACACTAAGAGACTCTGTCTTGTTTGTTTGTTTTTGTGGTACTGAGGCTTGAACCTAAGGGCGTTCACACTGAGCTATGTTCCCAGCCCTTTTTAAATTTTTTATCTTGGGCCAGCATCTCACCAAGTTACTGCACTGCCCAGTCTGGGCTTATATTTGTGATCCTCCTACCTCAGCCTCCCAGAGTAAGGGGTATAACCCCAGAGTGCTGGGATTACAGGCATGTGCTGTCACGCCTAGTTTATATTGTGCTGTTTAAAAGATGAAATTTATAGTATATGGGTTATATCAGAACTTCTGAAAAAAAGGGGCTGAGGATTTAGCTCAGCGGCACAGCGCCTGCCTGGCAAGCATGAGGTTGTGAGTTCGATTCCTGGTACTGGAAAAGAAAAAGCAAAAAACAAAAAAAAGAACTTCTGAAAAGATAAAAGAATTTCATGTTTGATTTTATTCCTTCTTAAGCATATTCAAAACATTCTATCTTGTTCCCTCTTTAAAATTTTTTTTTAAATTATAGAATATCATTACAACAAAGCCTTGTAAATAAGGAGGGGAAGAGAGTGGGAAAAAAAGAGGAATCAAGATATCATGTTCAGGTACACATTCCCTATGTTGAATGTGATCATTATGTATATCTAAAATGTACAAATAAACTTAATAAAAAAAGGAAATAAATAATGTAAACATATACTTAACCATACCTTCCAGTTTAAGAAGTATAATTTAAAGACTTGCTGCTGCCCCTTCTCAGACAGATCCCTTGGTTTTCTTTATAGCTCTAGTTTATATTGTTTTTCCTATTTTGGGACTGTCTATAATATGACACATTTTTTCCTAAATACTGCTTTTTTTCAGAGGTCACCATTAAATGTTTTAAGATTGATCCATAGGGGCTGGGGATTTAGCTCAGCGGCAAAGAGCGCCTGCCTGGCAAGCGCAATGTCGTGAGTTCGGTTCCTGGTACTGGAGAAAAACCAAAAAACCAAAAAAAAAAAAAAGATTGATCCATAGTACTCCATGGAACTCAATTCTTTCACATTCACTACTATGTAGTTTTTTACTGTACTGTACTGTGTGCTACATTTGATTTACTGTACTGTGTGCTACATTTGATTACCCTTTCTCGTACTAGACATTGAGCAGTTGCTAACAATGCTGCTATGAATGTTCTGGTTCTTATCACTCGGTAGATATAGGCAAGAACATCATGATTTAAAATATTGTTAATGTAATAGAGGTAAAATGGAATCTTAAACTTTGGATCTGAATTTTCCTGATACGTATTTTTTGTTGTTTTGTTTTTAAAACAGGGTCTTGCTATGTAGTGCTGGCTGGCTTTGAACTTGCTTGTCTAGCCTTTGCTGGCCTCAAACTGATGGCAGTCCTCCTGCCTCAGCCTTCTGAGTGCTGGGATAACAGGTGTGTGCCACCACACCTGACCTGTTGTTTTTATAGGCCTTTCTTGTTTCCTTTTTCATGTGTTACCTTTTTTTTTCCACCAGGCTAGTTTTTCATTTTCTTACTGAGAGAGGAATCTTTATATTTCTGAATGTCAGAGTGAGTTGGGTAAAGTACTCCATCTCTTTTCACTGTGTAAACATGTCTGTTTTGGGTAGTTTCATCTTCCCTTGAACATGTGACAGACACCAATTCTTTTCAGAAAAGGAATGGGTTACATGGTGAAGGAGGGAGCATCTCATCATTTGAGGTACACAAGTTAAGTTGGTGTCTTGGTTACTTTTTTCTTGCTGCTGGGACAAAATAACTGACACCCAAAATTAAGGAAGGAAAGGTTTATTTCGCTTACAGTTCATGGAAGTTTCAATCCGTACTTGGCAGATTATAAGGCAGAGTGGCACGTGGCAGAGGGCTGCAACTCAGGACGGCAGCCACAGCTAAGCAACAACTCACTTACACCGGGGCAGGCGGAATGGGGGAGGAATGCCCCAAGCACTCTTTTCCTGTCCCTTACATATGCAAACTCTCCACTCCCGGGCGGGTGCAACTCTCACACCCATATTCAAACTCTAATAGCCTGTCCCAGGGCCGCATGAGGCTTTGGGGGGACACACAGACATAAACTATAACAGTTGGCCACCATTTGGTGGGCTGCTCTCAGTGGGCCGTCATGTGTCACTTACGTAGATGGGTAGAATAAACTCTGGGATTCATAAGCCATTTGGCCTAAGGTCTGTCTCCCTGTTTTCTCCATGATTACACTTTCTTTTCATGTTGGAAATCAGTGAGAAAAAGATTCCCTTTGCCTTAAATGGGATACTATATGCATGAGATTTTGTTTGTATGGTTTCTGACTTGAATACTTTTAACTGTAAATTGTTTCTTTCAATAGATGGACGACCTCAGTGGGAGGTAGAAGGGAAAATAATCAGAGAAAAATGCCAAGGGGTAAGAAATTTGCCTGAATTCTTAAGAAATATGTAAGAATCTTATGAGAAAATTGAATAATACTGCTTTGTGGTATAGATGAGGATATTGAGAAATTTAAAAAGTAAATTAGAATTTTTATTTTATTTTATTTTATTTTTATTTTTTTGTCTTTTTGAGCCAGGGTCCCTCTGTGCAGTTCAGGCTGACCTGGAACTCACTTTGTAGCTGAGGCTGACCTCAAACTCATAGCAATTCTCCTGTCTCAGCCTCCCAGAGTGGTGGGATTACAAGTGTAAGCCACCATGCCTGGCTTAAATTAGAATTTTTATAAATTTGAAGGTAACACTTCTGGTATGAAAGGTTAAGAAAAATAATATGTGTGTCTTTCTTTTCTTTTTTGTATATTAGAAAAAATTTGTCAGAGTTGTGGCACATACCTATAATCCTAGCACTCTGAGAGGCTGACGCAGGAGGCTCACAAGTTTGAGTCTAGCCTCAGCAGTTTAGCAACTCAGTGAGACTATGTCTCAGAATAAAAAAATAAAAAAGGTCTGAAGATTTAGCTCAGTGCAGAAACCCTGGGTTCAGTGCCTACTACTGGGAAAAAAAAGAGAGAGACCGAGAGAAAGAAAGGAGAAAAAACTAGACATGAAACAATTTTGTAGATTATTTTACCATTAATTTATTTATCTTAATTCAGTAAAGAACTCAAAACAAGTTCAGTAACGAACACACACAGTAGCCAAAAAATAGGAAGATAACAATTTGTATATTTAACATACACTATACCTAGCTCCTCGGATACCTTATTAACCCTTTCAGAAATGAAAGCTGTGGTCCCTTATAGTCTCTGGAATGGAGATAAAGTCTTCTCTGGGCTAGGAAATACCATCTCACCTCAGTGCTTACTAAAGACTTGTAGCAATTAGGATAAAGATTGTATTTCATGGGGGACTAAAGATTTTCACCCTTCCCTATGTAAGACTTTTGTGGTTCTGAAGGTTGAATCTAGGGACATTGTATCCCTGAGCTACATCCCCCGCTCCCTGTTTATGATTTTTTGTTGTTATTGTTCTTTTTCCTTTTTTGAGACCAGGTCTCATTAGGTAGTTTAGGGGGCTGGGGGTGTAACTCAGCAGGGCAGTGCTTGCCAGGGAAACGTGAGGTCCTTAATTCTCAGTACCAAAAAAAAGAGTAGAAATTTGACTTAGGTTACCAGATCCAGTGTCATCTAACTAGTCCATGGGACAATTTTAGTTGGGTATGATGACGCATGCCTGTAATCCCAGCACTCAGGAGGCTGAGGCAAGAAGATGGCTGCAGGTTCAAGGCCAGCCTGGGCTACAAAGTGAGTTCAAGGCCAGTCTGCATTACATGGTGAGACTCTGTTGCAAAAAAAAAAAAACAAAACAAAAACAAAAAACTATGTGGTTCAGGCTGGCCTTAAATTCACTATGTAGCAGAGGCTAGCCTTGAATTTGTGGCAGTTCTCCTGCCTCAGTCTCTTGAGTGCTGGGCTTACAGGCATGTACCACCATGCCCGGCTTCTTTTTCTTGGTTTTGTTTTCTTTTTTTTTTTTTGGAGACAGGGTCTCATCAATTGCCCAGATGGGGCTCCAACTTGCCAAATTGCTGCCTCAGCCTTGTAGGTAGCTGGGATTACAAGCGTGTACCACTGGCCCCGAGAAAATTATTTTTAGTATGGATACAGATTTTTCTGTACTATGAATTTAGAGTATTTTCTATATAAAATTTATGATAGGAAATGTAAACCATGATGCAGTATGACAAATATTAAACATGATTAACAACCAGAATGTTAAGATACATAGAGCCAGGTGTGGTGGCACACATCTGTAATCACAGTGCTTAAGAGGCTGGGGCAAAAGGATCACTGTAAGTTCGAGGCCAACCTGGAGTACATGGCAAGTCCTTGTCTCAAGGGAAAAAAAAGTTATATAGTAACTTGTAATATTCAGTAGAGCAAAGTATTTTGCTACATTGCTACCATCCTGTATGATAAAACTTTTTATTTCTTTTTTTTTTCTGTCTTTTTGAGACAGGGTCTCACTCTACAGCTCAGACTGATCTTGAGCTCACTTTGTAGCCCAGGCTGGTCTTGAACTTGCAACGATCATCCTGCCTCAGCCTCCCAAGTGCTGGGATTACAGGTGTGCGCCACCACACCCCGGCAAAACTTTTTATTTCTGAGACAAGTACAAACCCAATTGGATAAGTAAAAAGCAATTTCTTAAAAAAAAAAAAAAAAAAAGCAATTTCTTAGCTGGGCGTGGTAGTGTATACGTGTAGTCCCAACTTTGGAGAGGCCCAAACAGGAAGATTACTTGAGCCCACTGTTTGATTTCAGCCTGGGCGACATTGTGAGGCCTCATCTCAAAATAAAAACACAGTTTTTCCTTTAATGATTGAAGAGTTTGTCTCTGTCAGCTCTGAAGTATCTGCATGTGTAGTAAATCTCCCGATGATTTATTGACCAGTTGATGTACATATGATGGGGGAGCCTTGTAGTTTAGGCTCATGAATTTTTCTGAATTTAGCAGGTGCGTTTCATTTTTAGTTCTGATGTAACACAGTCTTGCTTTCCCTGCCCCTTAGGCTCACATTGTCCTTGAAGTTCCTCCCTATCACAACCCAGCGGTTACAGCTGCAGTGCAGGTGCACTTTTATCTTTGCAATGGCAAGAGGAAAAAAAGCCAGTCTCAACGTTTTACTTACACACCAGGTATGAGTTCTTGTGGAAATTTAGAGTTTTCTTTCATGAATAAAAAGTTATTCAGTGAGTCCTATATTAGAGTGCTTAAGGTAGATGACCAATATATGCTTAATATAAAATTTGTATTGACTTTAAATATTTGATATGCCATCATTTATTATGTTGTACTGATTTACTACAAGAGAATTAGAAAATGGAATGTAGGTTTGAAGTCTTCCCAGAAGGTTTCAGGAATCATAAACATTTTAGGAAGAGAAGTATTTGTGTTTGCTCCTGGGTTGTACCATGAGCCGTACAGAAAAGCAGCCTGCCCACTTTGTAGTGTTTTCGTCTTAACCCACTCAGCCAAAAAATCTTAGGGCTGGGGATATAGTTCATTGGTAGGCTATTTCAAGAAACTACCAGAAAGAAAATCCTTTTGTTGGAATTGCATTGCATAAGCAGTAGATGTACGATATTATGGGCTGTGGAGAATATATAATTAATGTCGGAGTTCCTGGTTTTATAGCTAGATAATAACAGTGTCATTATAGCACTTGATGTGTGTATGGTGGGAAGAGGGTAAAGCCAGGACCTTTACACTGAGCTGCATCCCCAGCCCTTTGTTTAAATTTTGAGAGTCTGGTCAAATTGCCCAAGCCAGGGTTGAACTTCCAGTCCTCCTTGCATCAGCCTCCCAGAGTGCGGAAATTACAGGCATACACCACCACACCCAGCCCAGACACTTGTATTTGGGAGGGTGCTGGCAATTAATTGTTATTCATTTGTCATATGTTTTTAAACTTTTAAACATAAACTTTTTAAAACTTGTTTATATTCATTTATAGTCCATAAAACCTACTTGTGTTCCCAAATCTATATCACTTGATAATATATTATTTGGAAATAAGATATTTTAGATAATTTTTTTGTTTTGTTTTGTTTTTTTGAGTTAGGGTTTTGCTATATAGTCCAGGCTTGCCTTGAACTCACTGTGTAGCCCAGGTTGGCCTCAAACTCCTCCTGCCTCAGCCTTCCAAGTGCTGGGATTACAGGTGTGTGCCACCACGCCCAGCTGATAATTTTCAAGTAGGATATAACATCTTTCAAAACTATATTTTGGTTAGCCATTTCATTTTTTTAAACTTAAGTAGCCTGGCATGGTGGCATATGCCTGTAATACCAGCACTCGGGAGGCTGAGACAGGAGGATCATTGTGAGTTCGAGACCAGCCTACACAACATAAGTGAGCTCAAGGTCAGCCTGAACTACATAGTGAGACCCTGTCTCAAAAAGACAAAAAAAAAAAAAAAAAAAAAAAAAAAAAAACTTAAAAGTGTCTACAAAGTAGCAGGGCCTATCTTAGTCTCTTCCTACATGAAACTTATAGCCTAGTGGGAAAACAGAAGTTAATAAGTCACTAAAATTACTAGCCAGTTTGTCATGAGAAACTGAAAGTGAAGAAGTTATCACTGAGGTGATAACTGGAAAATAATTGCATTATCATAATTGTGTGATCTTAGTATTTTTCTAACCCCTTTCTATATTAATCCTCATAGTAGACCTGTGAGGTAGGTGTTGTTATACTGTTTTCAGAAGAAATGGATTAGTTAAGTAATGTGCTCAAGGTCTCACAGGATATAATTCTTAGAGCCAAGCCAGGCATAGTGGCGCATGCCTGTTAACCCAGCACTTGGGAAGCTGAGGCAGACGGATCACTGGGAGTTTGAGGCCATCCTGGACTACATGATAAGTTCAAGGCCAGCCTGAACTACATAAGGCCCTATCTCAAAACAAAATAAAACAAAAAAACAATAATAATTCTTAGAGCCAAAGCTCACACATACAATCTGGCTTCAAAATCTGAGTTCCTATTATGCCCAAGTACATCCTAGGTTTGTTTTATTTATTCAGCAAATATAGAACAGTTAGTGTGTGCCAGGTGCTTGTCTAAGTAGTTCATACATAATGACTCATTTATCCTCCCCATACTTTTATAAGGAAGGCACTGTTACCATCCTTGGTTTTGTTGGTTTTTATTTTTTGTTTTTTGGGAAGTTTTTATCTTTTTGAGACAGGGTTTTGCTATACAGTTCAGGCTGGCCTTGAACTTTGTAGTGCAGTCTGGTCTCCTGCCTCAGCCATCCTTACTATACAAATGAATGAGCTGAAGTCATACAGGATAAGTGGCAGAGATGGAATTTGAATCCAGGTAGTCTGGTTTGAATGTGTAATATACTATTAATTACTATGTTAAATTAAGGAAGAACAGGGGCTGGGGATTTAGCTCAGCGGCAAAGCGCCTGCCTGGTAAGCGCAAGGTTGTGAGTTTGGTTCCCGGTACCAGAGAAAAACCAAAAAAAAAAAAAAAAAAAAAATTAAGGAAGAACACTCCAGATAAAAGGCAGCAGCATCCAGATGTGGTGGCACACACCTGTAACCCCAACATCCAGGAGACTGAGGCAGACAGGGATGCCAGGGTTCAAGGCCAGCCTGAACTACATAGCAAGACCCTGTCTTTAAAAAAAAAAAAAGGGGGCCGGGGATATAGCTCAGTGGCATAGCACCTGCCTGGCAAGCTCGAGGTCCTAAGTCTGATTCCTAGTACCAAAAAAACCCCCAGCAAATGAAGACCTTGTGGTTGGTAGGATCATGGAATTTTATGAGAGCTGCTAAGATGTGAGTTTTAACTGGAAAGTGACATGATGAGACATGTATTTTGGAAATCATTTCCCACGTTTTGTTGGTCTCTTTACTAGGCGTCAATGACCAGTTTAATCTTTTGTCATGTTAGTCACTGTAGACAGTGAGATTGATATGGCAGAAGCCCAAAAAGTTAAAAAGGTAATTCACTCAAGAATGTTTTGAAGCCCTGGGCGTGGTGGTGCACGCCTGTAATCCCAGTACTCGGGAGGCTGGCAGATCATTGCGAGTTCGAGACCAGCCTGGGCTACAAGGTGAGTTCAAGGCTAGCCTGAATTGCATAGCGAGACCCTGTCTCAGAAAGACCAAAAAAAAGTTTTGAGCTGGGGATGTAGCTAAGTGGCACAGCACCTGCCTGGCAAGCATGAGGTCCTGAATTTGATTCCTAGTACAAAAAAAAAAAAAGAATATACTGAAGTCTAGAAGAAGATTCCAAGTATCTTTTAGTATTGATCGTTCGTGATGTTCCAACAAAAATTTATTCCACAAGTCTAAGAATTTAAATCTTCCATTAAGCTCTAAATTTTAGACTTCAGAAAACAGCATCAGGGTGAGTCCATGATAGGAGCCAGCACTGCCGCCATCCATTCATTGTGGAGCCAGAAAAGGAGGGACACCAACATGAACAAGTTGAAATCATCCCAGAAGGATAAAGTTTGACAGTTTATGATCTTCACACAGTCTAGTGAAAAAACTGCTATAAGTTGTCTTTCTCAAAATGACTGGAAGTTAGATGTTGTAACAGATAATTTTTTCCAAAATCCTGAACTTTATATATGAGCGAGTGTAAAAGGATCATTGGACAGCTAGAAAAACAACTGTACAATAGATACAAAGATCCTCAAGATGAAAATAAAATTGGACTAGATGGTATACAACAATTCTGTGATGACCTGGCACTTGATCCAGTCAGCATTAGTGTTTTGATCGCTGCATGGAAATTCAGAGCAGCAACACAATGTGAGTTCTCCAAGCCAGAGTTCCTGGACAGCATGACAGAATTAGGACGTGACAGCATAGAAAAGCTAAAGGCTCAAATACCCAAAATGAAGCAAGAATTGAAAGAACCAGGATGATTTAAGGATTTTTACCAGTTTAGTTTTAGTTTTGCCAAAAATCCAGGACAGTCTTAAGGATTAGATCTAGAAATGGCTGTTGCCTACTGGAATTTAGAGCTTAATGGAAGATTTAAATTCTTAGACTTGTGGAATAAATTTTTGTTGGAACATCATAAACAATCAATACTAAAAGATACTTGGAATCTTCTTCTAGACTTCAGTACAATGATTGCAGATAACATGTCTAATATGATAAAGAAGGAGCATGGTCTGTTCTCATGACTTTGTGGAATTTGCATGCCCTCAAATTGCTGGGACAAAAAGTACAACAGTGTAGCACTAAAGGAACCTTCTAGAATGTACATATTTTGTACAATAAATACAACAGAAAATTGCACAGTCAATTTCTGCTGGCTGGACTGAACTGTGGATCAATCCTCACTATTCAGACTGAGGGCTGAGACAAAACTTTAAGGATACACTTTAGAACATATCTTATTTCATTCTTCTAATGGTGGTTTGGGCTTGTCTTCCAGTCTGGGTCACTCTAAACATTTATAATTCCAACGTTGTGGGTTTCATCTGTGGGCCATCCTAGTTTATTCTCCCATAAGTTTTAGAAGCTTTATGGTGCTTATTTTGAGGTTTCCATTCTTGCATGAAGCACAATGCTGTCTTCATCAGCAAACAGTTTGGCATAAGAATTAAATATAATGAACATCACAAACAATTTATAAAAACTTCTTAAATATATGCTTTGGACTAGTTACAAAGACTATGCTGATGGCACTTCCAGTGAGAGTGATATATTTACGTGTACAGGATGTGGAATGGTGTTTTGGTTTGGGGGGATTTTTTTTCCCCTGGCAAATCACATATATCATTGATGTAGAGTATCTGATGAAAGAAATATCAGAACTACCGTTATGAAAAATTTTTAGAATAACTTGGTGCCTACATGAAAAATGTATTGTGTTTTAGACTTTCAATTTCAAAAAGATTCCACAGAATTAGTCTGCACCTACCTTACCCATGTTTATATGTTGGCTTTTTTCTTTTTGGTTTTTTTTGGGGGTAGCGGGAGTCAAACTCAGGACCTTGTGTTTGCCAAGTAGGCACTTGTGCCACTGAGCTATATCCCCAGCCCCTCCCATGTTTATATATAATGGTCTTACAGGGAGCTTTTTTTTTTTTTTGTCTTTTTGAGACAGGGTCTCGCTCTGCAGTTCAGGCTGGCCTTGAGCTGACTTTGTAGCCCAGGCTGTTCTCGAAATCGCAGTGATCCTCCTGCCTCATCCTCCCAAATTCTAGGATTACAGGCGTGTGCCACCATGCCCGGCACAGGGAGCTTTTATTTAGCAAATGTCTTCATAATGTTAGATTGTACTTTTGTCTACGTTATGCACCACATAATTGGATTTCATGATGCTTTTGAAATGCTTATATGTGTATCAATAAGTTAAACTGTTTAATTTGTTTTGAATTGCTATACAATATAATATCCTAAATTTAAAAAAAAATAAGAAAACAGCATCAGTGGTGATAGAGTATTAAATTTCTGAGGAAAAAAAAAAAGAATATCCAATTTCTAACAAAAGTAGGAAAGGATGAGTTTTTGTTCTGTTTTGTATTGTCTTTTTGAGACAAAGTCTCGCTATGCTGTTCAGGCTGGCCTTGAGCTCATTTTGTAGCCCAGGCTGGTCTTGAACTTGCAATGATCCTCCTGCCTCTGCCTCCCAAATACTGGGATTATAGGCCTGTGCTACCACGCCCAGCAGGATGAGATTTTAAAACATAGATTGGAGTGGGTCCTAGGGAAAGAAACAGAAGGAGAGATAAAGAAGATAGGTAAATGGCTATAAGTGAGGACAATTTGTAGATTTAATAGCGGAGAGTTTAGAGAATTCCCACGTGATAGCTTCATTTTTCTACAAAGAATTAGGATTAGAGGAGAATGTGGGTGATTTGGCTGAAGATCATAGCAATGGTATGAAATAGCTGTAATTAAAGGGAGAGTAAGTTGACCACAGAAACCTAGTAGGACTCTAGACTTGATTGGAGGTCACCTTGGTTGTTGATATTCATGAATTTATAGACCCTGACCAGTCTTGCTGTGTAACATTCTAAAGCAGTACTTGAATTGCTCAAGGCAGATAGTAAAATATAGATACTGTGCTCTTTCAGAGTGTCATTTACGCCGGACATATTGTCCTAAGGTGTTCTCAGGTGCTGTTGGGATGAAGAACTATAGGCTCTAACTTGAATAAGAAAGAAGAGGACATCTGGAATAGGAGGAAGAAAAAGCAGTAAGGTTAGAAAATTAGAGGGTTTGATTACTATCTTAAAATGGTAGTAACTAAAAGGCAAATAGAGAACATGCTGCCTTTAATGTATCACTTTGTGAATTGGGAGGACAATATAAAACACAGAATCCTAGTAGGCATTACATGTAAGAATGCAAATCAGTAGAAATCAAAAGTGGAGCAAGAATGCTGGATTGTCATTACTAACCCTATGGTTAATAGAAGGTGAATAAAGAGACATACGCTTTAATTGAAGGAAAAATAAACACATATTAGTGTTTGGACAGTCTTTGTTCTGGTTTGTTACTGTCCTTTCTCTAGCACTTCTTTTGTTTGTTTTGTTTTGTTTCTTACTATGCAGCCAATGGAAATGAATTGTCATTCATTGCAAATGATTGTTTCTTTTACCTTTTTTTTATTAAATATCATAATTAACATTATTTGTCCAGTACTCTATAAAGTAGGGGCAGCTTCCCAGCATGTGTATCTGATTCATAAATTCACCTAACCACAGATGGTAATAGAGCATAGCTCTGTCCTGTGGTACTGTCTGGACTTTTACTCATCCTGCAACTTCTGAGCTTCCAGCGTGGGAGCCCCCACCTTATGTCAGCATGCTTGAAGCTGTTTAAAGCAAAACACCTCCTTTTGAGGCCCAGCAGAAGTTATTTGTGTTATAGGTGCCATCTCAAGTCTAGTTTTGGAATAATGGGGCTTCCAGGGGCAGCATTACAGCCAAACTCTCATGTATGACATTGTGCCTATAGGAAAGTATTCTGAGTGTTCTTTGACTGGACCAGCCTTTTGGGTTGTGGTTGGTGGGTGGAGGGGTGCTGCTCTAGTGCCAGGAGATCAAGCCTCAGCCCTGCCAGAGAAGGTATCCTCTGAAAACATAAAACTAAGTTGATTTCAAATTGTTTAGATTATTTTATTTTTCATATAAACCTTTAAACAGAAAGCAGTGGTATTCTGTAACAGAATTAAAGACAGCTAAGCTACTCTGTTTGCACTGGAGGAGGAAAAATAGAGCTTCTATATCAAAACCCCCACGGAGGGTTCAGTCTCCCACCTGGCAGTATGGCACATGGACACAAAAGAAAGACAAAGAGAGTAAGGTCTGTAGTTGAGTTGCTCTGGGATGACAAGTGTTCTCTGTGGAACAAAAAGCCATGAGTCCCAAAGCTCATGGCAAACTCTAGTTTGTCTTCAGATCATATATATCTTTCACCTTTTATCAATAGCTCATAGCTTTTATTGGTATCAATCAGGGAGGTGAATGGGAGTCTTGCAGAGTGCTGGGGAAGAGAAGCTTTGCAGGCATTGCCTGTAAGGAGAAACAGAGCAGCTTTGTACCAGTCACAGAGGCCCTCCAATTAACAGTACAATAGATAGCTTCATGTATACAAGGCTAGCACCTTTACTGCCAGTAAGGTATAATTCTTTCTGAGTCCTGTAGCCTCAGCTGAGATGTTATCTTATGTCTTAGCCCTGGAATCTCACAGGCTTTCGCTCGAGTCCCCATTCCAGCCATCAGCAGGAGGAGCAGTTTTTGGCCTCACGCTACAATGAGACATGTTGCCATCTTGGCTGGACTGTATCACATTCTTTTAGCCAATTAAGGGAATGTCTGGTTCAATACAGCCAGCTCTGTATATCTCAGTGAATAGGGTTGAGATAAAGGTCAGGTAAAGATTGAGGCAAGGGACTTAGCTTCTCAGGAGAACACAGCTTGACAGTCTCCCATACTTCTGTCCTCTGAATCCTGCTCTTCCATATCTACTATTTAGGGTCTAGGATATAGCTTAGTGTCACGGTACCTGCCTGGCAAGTGCAAAGTCCTGAGTTCCATTCCCAGTACCAAAAAAGAAAAAAATAACACCATATCTACTATTTGAAGGTGAATATGAGGCTACCCATGGTTTGAAAATCACTAGACCACTGACCTATAATAGACCAATAATTTTTTCTGGATCCACTGCATACATCAGTATTCTAAATTTGAGAATGAGTTCATATAACACAAAAGATAGAGTTAATCTGTTTCTAAAATTCAACTTGTTCTGAATATTTGGGGTTTTTTTTTGTTTTTTGGGCTTTTTTGTCTTTTTGAGACAGGGTCTCACTATGCAGTTCAGGCTGGCCTTGAGCTCACTTTGTAGCCCAGGGAGGTCTCGAACTGATAACAATCCTCCTGCCTCAGCCTCCTGAGTGCCAGGATTACAGGCATGCACCACCATACCCGGCAGACAGGAATTTGATAATAGATGAGATTTGACCTTGACTTGGGTCTTATTGCTGCCTACTTTTTTTTGTTACATTTCTGGGGGACAGGGTCTTACAGTGTCATCCAGGCTGGCCTTGAACTCACTATGTAGCCCAGGCGGGCCTTGAACTGACAGTGATCCTCCTACCTAAGCCTTTTGAATGCTAGAATTACAGGTGTAGAGTCTTGCCTCCTTTTGACAGTAAAAGAAGTATTTTTATTTTGTGAAGATTATAAGACTTTTAGTCAAGCATGGTGGTGCATGCCTATAATCCCAGCACTCAGGATAAGGCAGGAGGATCACATTGTGAGTTTGAGGCCGGCCTGGGCTACAAAGTGAGTTTAAGGCCAGCCTGAACTACATAGTGAGACCCTGTCTCAAAGAAAAAAAAAATGACAGAAAGAAATACAAGTTATAGCCAGGTATAGGGGTGCGTATCTGTAATCCCAGCATTTGGGAGGCTGAGACAGGAGGTTTGCCATGCGTTCAAGGCCATCCTGGGCTACATAGTGAGTTCAAGACCAGCCTGCCCTATAAAGTGAAACCCTGTCTCTAAAAAAGCAAACAGAAAGAAAAAGAACAAAAGAAAATTAATTTATTTTTTAACTTCTTGTTGATTTCAGAACTTCTTTTAATCACCCCATGATGCTATAAAATCAAAATAGGTAAGGGGCTGGGGATTTAGCTCAGTGGCACAGCGCCTGCCTGGCAAGTGCAAGTTCGTGAGTTTGGTACCTGGTACTGGAAAAAAAAACAAACAAACAAAAAAAAAATAAAATAAAATAGGTAAATGTGAAAAAGTATTATAAACCAGAAATTCCATTTATGTCAGACTCATGCTTCTGAATTAGGGTCTCACTATGTAATTCAGGGTGGCCTTGAACTCCCTATGTAGCCCAGGCTGGCCTCAAACTTGCTGCAATCATCCTGCCTTGGCCTCCTGAGTACATTAAGTCCCTGACCTAAAAATGAGTTCCATTCTGGGAGAACATTCATAAGTTAGATTTGTTTGTAAGTCCATACATTTGCCCAAAGTAGGTCTTACACATATTTGACACAAATATAGAATGTATATTGCTTTGAACTTCCTAGTAGTGCCTTCCATATCACCACTGCTTTTCCTCTTGCTTCTGGACATACTGGGCTTTGATTGAGCATGGTACGACTACGGTATGCTATTGCCCTGCACAGTAAGCGCACAACAGCACAACTGTGACAATGTCCTGCAGACATGTGAGCTACTTCTTCAGTTTGTTTGCATCTATAAATGCTAGTAATGCAAGATCTGTTTGTGTCTGGGAAAGTTTGCATCTCAAATGTTCATAACTCAGGGACTTACTGTACTAGGATTACAGATGTACACCATTATGCACAATGCATACACATGACTTGCTTTCCCTGAAGTCATCAAAGTTTGCCATCCCTGGCTTGAATATATGCTTCAGCTATGTATACTACAGCGAAGACCTGTCATTATTTTATGTATTGTTTAACATTTGTTTTAATCATTTTATTTTCAGTTTTGATGAAGCAAGAACACAGAGAAGAAATTGATTTATCTTCAGTTCCACCTTTACCTGTGCCTCATTCTGCCCAGACCCAGAGGCCTTCCTCGGATCCAGGGCACCCACATGACAGTGCCCTGTCAGCACAGAGAAGCTTGATTTGTCCTGTCCAGCAACCATATACATCCATGGTAACCTCATCCCATTTACCACAGCTGCAGTGTAGGGATGAGGGTACTGGTAAAGAACAACATATGACACCTTCAATAGTGCACCAGCCTTTTCAGGTTACACCAACCTCTCCTGTGGGGTCTTCCTATCAACCTATGCAAAGTAATGTTGTATATAATGGACCAACTTGTCTTCCTGTTACTGCTGCCTCTAGTCAAGAATTTGATCCAGTTTTGTTTCAGCAGGATACAGCTCTTCCTAGTTTAGTAAATCTTGGTTGTCAACCACTGTCATCCATACCATTTCATTCTTCAAATTCAGGCTCAGCGGGACATCTCTTAGCGCATACACCTCATTCTGTGCAACCCTCGCCTAATCTGCAATTGATGGGATACCATTGTTCAAACACAGGACAGAGATCTCTTTCTTCGCCAGTGCCTGACCAGGTCGGGGGTCAGCTTTCCCCTCAGTTGCAACTTATTACATATGGTCCTTCACATTCAGGACCTGCAACAGCTTCCCCAGCAGCCTCTCATCCCCTGGCTAGTTCACCACTTTCTGGGCCACCATCCCCTCAGCTACAGTCTATGCCTTACCAATCTCCTAGCTCAGGAACTGCTTCATCACCATCTCTAGCCACTAGAATGCATTCTGGACAGCACTCGACTCAAGCACAAAGTACAAACCAAGGAGGTCTTTCTGCACCTTCATCCTTAATATGTCGCAGTTTGTGTGATCCAGCATCATTTCCCCCTGACGGGGCACCTGTGAGCATTAAACCTGATCCCGAAGATCGGGAACCTAACTTTGCAACCATTGGTCTACAGGACATCACTTTAGATGATGGTAAGTTCATCTGTGTATTCTTGAAGCAGTGAAAATTTAGGACTTTTATTCTCAAAAGTTGTGAAAAAGCTACCATGCATTACTGACTGGCATGTGATTGGCTTTTTAAATAAGTTGTTATTACTGATTGAGGTAGCATATGCCTGCAGTCCCAGCACTCAGGAGGCCAAGTGAAAGGATCACTTGACTCTTAAGAGTTTGAGACAGTGTGGGCAACATAATCTTAAACCAAAAAACCCAAAAACACCTTTTGGGGAAGGTAGAATGAAGGAAAGCAAAGAGCAAAAAGCAGTAGTCATTTATAAAGAAAGTACAACTAGGAAAAGGAGGAGAGGGGGATGGGGCTATAGCTCAGTGGCATAAGTGCCTGCCTGGCAGGCGCAAGGTTGTGAGTTCAATCCCCAGTACCACAAAAAAAAAAAAAAAAAAAAAAAAGAGGGGAGTTTGAAGAATAGGGTACAAAAAAAAAAAAAAAGGTGGGTACTTTAGCCTTTGGGGATCATGTGATTGCCTGGGGCAAGACGCAGTTCTAGTCTGTCATAGGACCTGTTCATAAATAAAAGTATTTATATTTTAAAAAGCTGTTACTAGAAAGATATCCATGTATAATTGAGCATGGATGTGAAAATCTATGCTTAAAAGTCTGTCCATTTTACCACTAATATCTCCTGTTGAACAGGACATCTTTTCTTCTGAATATATAGTAAGGTCACAGGGTCTAGAGAATGTAATTCATGGGCATTAATTCAATGAATATTGCTGAATGCCATCCTTCCCCAAGGCTTGGAGTTAGATACTAGGAATACTAGGAATGTGTTAAGATAGAGATTCTGTCCTCAAGGAGACTCACACAAGTAAAGAAACTGCTCCTTTGTGGCTGTGCCAGCTTGCAGAGCCAGGAAATGTCAATGGGCTAGTTTCTTGCTGCTGCTACAGCTGTTAGTGCAAAGATTTAAAAGAAAAAATTATATAATTAGCAAATTGTCATGCAAATTTCTGATTTTAAGAGATGAATATAAGCTGGAGAATTCAGAAATATTAGTTATTTCAAAAACTGAAAATGATTTTCAACTAACAATTTTAGAGTTTATCCTTGGTTTTGTCACTTATACAATAGCAAAATTTGTCTGAGTATGTAGTCAGTGAAAACTATGTGAAACTATTGCCCAGTGTGAACTTTCTAAAGATTCTGAAACATAGATACAGAATTTTAGTTCTCAAATTCAGAATTCATCTACTATAGGGAAGTAGTTGTAGATCAGCCATCTCCTTTCATCGACCTGGAAAGGCTGAGTTCCCTGTGGTACTCAGTTGTGAAGCTGATATTAAATCCATAGTCCTTTATGAAATAAAAATAAATCCTAAATCCTAAGCGTAAGGGGCAAGGAAGGTAAATACTACGTGGCACTCTGGCTCCTGGGGCTTTCCAGTCAGACCTGTACAGGACTCAACGGTTTAAACAGTGCAGCAATTCTGAGTTACTGTAACTGGAATAAAAGAAGTACGCTAGAAGATGTGCAGAGGTACGTGACAACTCCTTCATAGGGAGGATTCAGCGAGACTTCTGTGAGTCAGTGACATTTGAGCTGAGTCTTGGAAGGTGAGTATATGTTTCAGTAAGTGAGGATCAGGGAACAACTGAGTAAGTGCAGGAACGGGGAAGAGCATAAATCTGGGAGAGCATAATTTTGTGACTATGGAACAAAACGTCCAGTAAAGGATGGTTTTTAGAGGCAAGAAGGCGTCATTTGTACATAAACAGAAGGTCATTTGTGCATAAAGAGAAGGTATAGATGTAAACCTTTGCATATCATTCTCTTACTTGTTATCGAATCCATTCTACTGTTTCTCTGCCTCTGAGGTAGACAGTGACATTTACAGAGTTAGACTTTCCAAAGGTCACACAACTAATAAGCAGCAGAACTGAGACTGGGTTCAGATTTTTTAGTCCAGTCTTTTGCAGCATAACAGCTGATGCTCATCAGCAGGAGACCATGGTGGTAGGAACTCTGTGCTAAAGGGAATCCCTCAAGGTGTTTTAAAGTCCTAGAGAACTGTGGATATTTAAGAATGTGTATACCGAATTTTACTGCATTGTTAGATTTGTTTGTAAACAAATGTTTACATTTGTTTGTAAACAAATTTGTGGCGGCACATGCCTGTAATCCTAGCACTTAGCAGGCTGAGACAGGAGGATTGCAGAGATTTGGAGGCCAGCATGGGCTACATGGTGAATTTAAGGCCAGCATGAACTGTGTAGCAAGACTCCATTTCCAAAAAAAGAAAGAAAGAATTTTACTGCATCAATACATGTTCATAGCTATGTTTGATCTGTCACACTTGTATTGAGGATACTTAGGATCTGGTGTTAAGCATCTTATTGCCGGGCATGGTGGCACGTCCCTGTAATCCCCAGCACTCAAGAGGCTGGGATAGGAGAATTACAAATTCAAAGTCAGCCTGGGTAGTTTAGTGAGATCCTATGTCAAAACTAAAAAGGACTGATGATGTAAGCTCAATGTAAAGCAATATAGTATAGCAAAAAAAAGGAGGGGCATCTTGCACCGCTCTCTGTGCCAGGAGGTTGAATAGAAACTACTGCTTTTATGCAATACAGATTAGGAAATAAAGACTTTTTGTAAGCAGCATCATTGCACTTGCCTGTAATCCCAGCTTCTTGGGAGGCTGAAGCAAGAGGGCCACAAATTAAAGGCCAAACCAGGCATGGTGGCACACACCTGTAATCCCAGCACTCAAGAGGCTGAGGCAAGAGGATCACCATCAGTTTGAGGCCAGTCTGAACTACAAAGTGAGTTTGAGGCCAGCCTGAACTCCATAGTAAAACCTTGTCTCAAAAAGCCAAGAAAAAAAAGAAAGAAAGAAAGAAAGAAAGAAAGAAAGAAAGAAAGAAAGAAAGAAAGAAAGAAAGAAAGAAAGACAGACAAGTTAAAGGCCAACCCAAGCTTTTCAATTTTATTTATTTATTTATTTTTGTTTTTTGAGACAAGGTCTCAATATATAACTCACACTGGCCTTGAACTCTCCGTGTTGCCCAGGCTGGCCTCGAACTTGCAGTGATCCTCCTGCCTCAGCCCACCAAGAGCTAAGGTTATAGGTATGCACCACCAGGCCCAGCCAACTTGGACAATTTAACCAGACCCTGTCTAAAAATTTCAGAAGGGCTGAAGCTGTTGTTGAGTGGCAGAAGCACTTGCCTATTGTGTATGAGGCCTTGGATTCAACCCCCAGCATCAAAAAATGTAAAAAACAAAAAGTGTTTCCCAGTTTTGCTTAAGCTTTTAAAATGTTACTTATTCTTTGGGCAGTTTTAGACTTACTGTTTACAGTTTTTAGGCTTACTATTTATTCACAGTACTTTTCACCCAGAAACAAAGGTATGACCTTGAGTGATGCCTCTCATCAGTCGTGATATAACTGAAGATACGAGACCTATTGAGCAGATTTCTGACGGAGTTGCAGCTCATTTTCCTTACAAAGGAAGGCACTTTTTAACTACTTTTTTTAAAAAAAGACAACACTGCAATCTGTTCTTATTTACTACACATTAAGTGATTTGGTGGGAAGAGCACAGAAACGGAAATAACCTAGAGAAATTTTGTGAAAACACAATTTGTTTCACTTTTTGAATATATCTTCAAAGATACGTTGTAAAAGCAGAAGATCTGGAGAGATGAGGTATGTGAGGACAAGCATAAAAGCAGTTTTATTTTTGTTCTATTCATTATGTAGGGTGCACAGTCAAGAAAAACTCACGGGAAAAAGAAAAAAAAAAAGTCCTGGACTGTAGCCTCGTAACAGACAGAAGCTTGCTATTGATTCTCTCACTGCTCCCACTCCGACGCCTTGAGAGAAGCTCAGTGATGCCAAGCAGTTGTTAGAGTGATAAAACTAAAATATACTCCGGGTGTCTCGGATTATTAGCTGTATAATTTTATGTATTACTTTTTTTTTGAGACAGGGTCTCACTGTATAGCCCATGCTGCCCTGCAACTTGAGTTCATCCTGCTTAAGGCTCCCCAATGCTAGGATTAGAAGCATCCCTCACCTGGCACAAACTGCATTTTTGATGTTTAAAATCTAAAGTGAATTTTTATATTACATATGTAATATATATAATATTTAATTTAATATTTATATATAGTTGTTGTTAATAGTTCAGGTTGGCGTTAAACTCAGAGTGATGCTCCTGCCTCAGCCTCCTGACTGCTGGGATTATAGGCATGCACTACCACACCTGGCAGTGAATTTTTTTTTTAAATGGTGCAGGGGTTCTAAACCAGGGCCTTGCACATGCTAAGCAGGTGTTCTACCACTGAACCACATCCTCAGTCCTTGAAGCAAATTTTTTTATATTAAGTCTAGAGCAGTTTTTTGTTTTGGTTTTTAGTATGTGTTTGCAATACATAGTGATTACATTCATTGTGGGGAATTGGTACATGTGTTACCACGTTCTGAGGTACTGGAGTCTCCTAGAGGTTTTCTAGGTTCTTTCTGCCCTGAACAAACAGTTGGTCAAGACAAGTGCAAAAGGTAGCAAGGTTTTATATTTACTTTATTAAAGGTAGAAAAAGGAACAGACCCTGTAGAGCAAATGTATGCCAACTAAAAATAGGAAAAGAAGTACACACTGCAGGATGAGAAGGGACCACTGTGAAAGAGAACACGGTGGCCAGGCGCTTAAAGGAAGCCATCTTTTGTGTCTCCCACTCCTCAGGCTGACATCAGGTCTAAGCTGTCCTATCAAAAGTCCGATTCAAGCCAGGCATGGTGGCAGACGCCTGTAATCCCAGCACTGGAGAGGCTGGGGCAGGAGGATCCTTGTGAGTTCAAGGCCAGACTGGGCTACAAAGTGAGTTCAAGGACAGCCTGAACTGCATAGTGAGAGCCTGTCTCAAAAAGACAAAAAAAGAAAATCCCCAATTCAGTTCTTGTGAGAACTGAAGGTATCACATTCTGATAGAAACTGTTTTTCTGTGCAA